TGTGTGTGGTGGGAAACTAGTTTCTCTCTTTTCTGTAGAACCAAAAATAATCTGTGGATAATCCGTCAAGGGTTCTGCTTTGAGCCAGTGTATTTTCAAAAAAAGCTGCCTCAAACCTGGTCCTATATTTCTCTGCCTCTAGTTTCAGAGGCAGAGAAATATAGGACCTTATTATTCTCTGCCGCTAGTTTCAGAGGCAGAGAAATATAGGACCTTATTATTAATTAATTTATATTTATTTATATTTCCTTATTCCCCAAACTCTTCATGTCCTGTGCTTTCCAGAGACTGAGTTCCCAATACTTCTTATTTTGCTTCTGCTTTGAATTTTAAAAAATTTCCGAGCTTCACTTTGATGAAAATATTTATTTTCCCATGGGTGTCAAAAGGTTTTATAACACATGCCTGCCACAACATGTGTCGGTTTTTAGGGATTTATTTTACAAACTGGAGTTGACGAATGGTATGCGTCAGGCCTGATAACTATTTGACTTCATTAATATTCAAGATCTGTCACCTTTGTTTTGCTTTCGTGGATGACTGTACCTCCTGACTCAGAGATGGACAGTTGCCTACAAACATCCGGTAACAAGGTGAAAATGGAAATAAAGTTTAATCTCAGTGAATTTAGAGATATATTAAAGTAGACTGTAGAGTAAGATGTTGAATCACTTTAAATGCCTGAAGATTTATCTCTGGAACTATCATTCTATCATTTACTTACTAATTTGTTTTCAGTCTTCTAAAAATGTGTTCCTCCATGCGTTCTAAAGTCTTTAGGGGTGAAGTGTGAGGATGTCTGCAACTTCCCTGTGTTCAGGGGAAAAATATGTATGTGTATATATATACATACATGTATGTGAGTGTGTGTGTAGATATATATATATATAGAGAGAGAGAGAGAGAGAGAGAGAGAGAGGACAGAGAGGGAGAGACAGAGAAAGGGAATAAAGCAAAATGTTAATAATTGGTGAATCGAGGTGAAATACATAGCGGTGTTTTACCATTCTCAAGGTGAAGCAAACAGCTAGATACTCTTAGGCTCTGTGTCCCATCTGTGATCAGGAGGCTGAGCCCGGAGAGCTGGGCTCAGTGTGGGGCTAACAACTCTTTCCACCTTACTGTGTTCTTTCTCCTTCTCGAACTCTTCACACGTTGTTGGTCCTTTCCTTATGCCTGGACCTGCTTTTCGTCTCATTCGTCGGTTTTCAAACACTGGGTGTAGTAAAACATGGTTGTGTGACCACAAAAAAAAAAAAAAAAGTCACTCAATTTCTTGGAACCGGCTGCCTTTAAAATTTCTTTCTTCCAGTAAGAAGGTCAACTGAGATTCAAGCAGAAATTCAAATCGTCTGTAATTTAAAGATACATCAAAAGAAAGTAGGGCAGGAGAGGCAAGTTTTGCTGCAAGCCTCGGCAGAACAAATTCTCTTTCCTTCGGGCCTGCCAAAGACTTACTACTTCCCACACTATGGCAATTTTGGTTCCAACTTTTTCCTGGGGTTTTGATGATTGAAAGTGATCCGTGTTTGTGGTTTAATTGCCTGAAGCCACTTCCTGAAGAGGTCACAGTGAAGCACCTGTTTTGCCAAAGTCCTCAGAGGGAAACCAACACAATTCCCTTGGCTGCAGGGGTTCCCGAGGTGGGGGGGTTGGAGGAGGGCCAAGAGGGGCTGGAGAATGGCCGTTGCTTGAGGAGGACATTTTAGGATTTCGTTCCGCTGGAACAGGGTCCTTGTTGAAACATCTCTACTTCTCACCCTGACCACACATGCCATTTTGAGAAGAGCGTTAATGTCCAAGGTGCTTTCAACACCTGGAAAAGAAAGTGAGGGGCCTAGATTTCTCTAGGACCCCTTCTGCTCGGTAGCTCTGTGAAGCCTCAGCTAACCACCACCCCTGCGTGGACACAACCTGACTTTCTGGTGTCAAAATAATTTTAAACTTGGTTACAAACCACATAATTCAAGGCAAAGCCTGCACCTGTCTTGCGGGGAGCTCCCCTCCGGAGGGCGCCTGCTCAGCTCCCCCTGCCTTTGAGTTGAAATGACTTCTTAGCGTCAATCTTCAGAACTGCTTGAAACTGTTGAGTATCAGAAAGCGGACTGGTGACAGCCCTACCTGGCAGGGCACCTTCCCTGGGGTCCTTTTCATAAACTTTGGAAAGTTTGCATATTGGGATTAGGTTTGGCGGTGTACGGCAGGAAGCCTAAACATGTAAAAAAAAAAAAAAAAAAAAAGATAGTCTAGGGTGGGAGAGCAGTTCCACAAAGCCAAGCCACCAAGGACTCATGCTCCTGTCTTGTCGCCCCAGCACTGTCAGCAAGTGGTCTGTGCCTGTGGCCCAACGTGGTGGCTGCAATCCACCCACCACATCCATACTGAGCCAGCAGAAAGGAAGACCGGTGGAGACTTTGAAGTCAACTTCCCAGGAGGAGCCTACTTTTCCACCTACGTTTTATTGGCCTCAATTCTGTCACGTGGCCACTTCTAGTTGCAGAGGGCGATGGGAAATGTAGTCTTTGTGTGGGCTAGTGATGTGCTGCGTTGAGTCAGGGCTTCTATAATGGGTTCTATAATCCGTCCTCTCATATCCAAGGTGGATATTAGAGGAGGAAACTAGCAGCATCTGTCATAGAAACTATATTTTTGAAGAGTAAGGGCTTTGGAATCAGTAGTCCTGGGTTTAAACTTCAATTCCTGCTTACAAGCTGTAAGATATTAGTCAAGCTACATAACCTCCTTAATCTCTTCTATTATATGATCTGTCAGATTGGCATGATATTCACAACACGGGGGTAAAATGAGAGAACAGATGTTCAGTATTCAGCTCAGTAGCTGTCACTGTTACATATGTGCCTGTGTCCCCATCTTTGACTTCATTCACTTATTGGGATATGTGGTGTTGGTTATACATGTGTATTTGATTCCAACTTCTTTCACATACTTCCTAGAGAACCAGTGAGTCTGGCTGGGACCAGTACAGTTGGGGACGTGAGAAGCTAATGTGGGTGCAGAGGACAAAGCAACTTAGTCAATGTCGATGTGATGTTTATGCTAATCAAGTGGCCTGGTTAACCTGAGGCTGGGGTTAGTGGTTAAAGTTACAGGATATATTTGTGTTTCAGAAACATGTGAAGGATAGGACCATGCAGAAGCAGGAAGAGTTTAGGGGAAACAGCCCTGGGTCAGACACCCAGCTAAGGGGAAAATCTCAGGTCATTCACTACCCGCTCAGGCTCCGCATCACCAGAGGGGGAGTTGAGACTGCAACTCTGAGCTCATGCCTTCTGATGAGCGAGGGCTTCTAGCATGCAAGGGTTACTTCCTCAGTTTGCCAACGCGGCCCTGGCCACTTAACGGCCATCTGGGTTTACTGTGAGACATTCAGAATGGTATCTGTTCCAGGAACAGGGAACAAGTTAAACTTTAAGGAAATGGGGGAGGGGTGGTGGGAGGGAATTTTTTTTTCCTGGACTCACTCATCACTTCCAATTCCCTGCTAGGGTTCTGATCATAAATATTCCCTGGTATTTTCTGGGACTGGGTATCTTGTAGGCCTTGAGGGCTATGAACAAGACCAGGCCTCTCTTCTCAAGGCTGTCCCCAGCCACGGGGAGCCAGACAAGAAAACAGTCATGGTAGGCGTCCAGGTTGCTCCCACGTGTTTCCCCTCCTGGTGTAACTTGGAACTCCTCCCACTAGAGGTGGGGGTAATTTCCCTGCCCCACTGATGGCAGCTCTGGCCACGTGACTTTCTTTGGCCAATGGAATGTGGGGCAGATGGGAGTGAGCTAGTTCTGGGCAAGGCCTTGAGTGCTCTTGCCCACATTGCTTGTGTTTTTGCCATTGCAGGAGAGGATCATCTCCCAGGCAGTCAAAGGTCCAGGGAGGATGAGAGACACATGGAGCTGACTTAGAGCCCACCCAAAGCCTGGAGCCAAGCCTAACCCGGCCTGATCTAGGTCAGATCCACAGACTTGTGAGCCAGAATCGTTTTACACCATTGGCGTGATCGCCTTGGTGATTGTTTTACGCATTTCAGTGTTGAGTGTTGAGGTGGATTACTGGCAGTATTGTTGGGACCCTGGGGAGCTAATACAACAGGTAATTATGATATGGTGTGAGAACTGCAGGGAGATTAAGAGGCACCCGGTGCTCTGGTCTCGGGGAGGTATGTGGCCAGGAGTGCTTCATGAACTTCATTACACATAACTTATTCACTATTTGGACCTTATTTCTCTCCCCCCCCACCCCAGCATGCTCTAGACCAGAGAGTTAGTGGTATATATAATATATATAATCCAACAGTGTATGTCGGAATTGTACATAAAGTAAGAGCTAATCCATAAAGACAATAGGAAAAGTTCTCCAACAAGTAAAATATGAGGACCTTTTGACTTCTAGTGATTAATTCACTCATTCATTCATTCAACAAATAGAAGTTAGGGATATAGCTGTGAGTAAAATAAAGTAAGATCTTTGAGCCCATGAGCTGGCATTCCAGAGGGAGGAGACACAGTTGATGATGAATGCCACAGAGAGCAATAGTGTAGGAAAGAAAAATGTGGAGCATTGAGGCAGAAGGGTGGTGCAGTTTTACACAGGAATGTCAGGGAAGACCTCACCATGAGTGATGCTTGAGTAGAGACCTGAAGGAGGAGAGAACCTGAGCAGTGGCCATAGCTGAGGAAAGAGCATCTCAGCGCAGGGCAGGGAATACTAAGGCACACTTCAGGAGAGACACTTAGGATATGGAACATCTATTCCAAGGCACCTTGTAAGTACTCTGGGGATTTGATGTTAGATGTGCTCAGTGAATATAGCTATTGAGGAGCAACTCCAAAACTTGGGCATTTTTCTTGTTAAAAAGTCTAAAGTCTAGGCAAAAATTTCCATCATCAGGTGAAGCCTCTAGAACCTGCTTCCGGGACCGTCTTCAAGGTGTTCTCTCTCTGGCTGTGTGTGGCTCCTGGTGACCCCTCTGTCTCCTCCTATAGGCTGTGGAGTGCTGGACCTGAGATCTCCACCTCCTGTGTCCTCCAGAAGTTGCCAGAAACAATGTTCATCTTTTACATGTTGGTAATGAGTGTTTCAGCCTTCACCATTCAGCCTGAGGAACACGCAGGTAAAAAATGAGTCTTGGGGCACCTGGGTGGCCCAGATGGTTAAGCGTCTGCCTTCGGCTCAGGTCATGATCTTGGGGCCCTGGGATGGAGCCCCACACTGGGCTCCTGGCTCAGCGGGGAGCCTGCTTCTCCCTCTCCCTCTGCCTCTCCCTCTGCTCGTGCTCTCTCTCTGTATCTCTGTGTCTCAAATGAATAAATACAATCTTTAAAAAAAATGAGTCTATCAGCTGAAGAGAGCTTGCCTGCAGCTTCTCTGGGGAAAATAGTTTATCTAGTGAAGTTGGTTGTTTTCAAAGAGCAAGGTGGGACATATCCTTCCTCCTGCCCATCTCCTCTGTTGCACGGAGCTTGCTGTGGGCATCAGTCATTCCTGCCAAAGAGTGAGCCAAGGAAGTGGTGCTTTTGCCCTCAATAAAAGATGCTTTTAGATTTTAACCACATGTCTTGTCACAACTAAGCTCTTTTTCTGTCTGAACTCAGCCAAGATCTGCTTTTAATGTTAAGGAGTCAACAAGTGAAGAATATGACCCAACTTTTTAATCATTTTTTGTCATCCTGTGAACCGGATTTAACTTTCCCCACAAAATTTAAATTGGAATGGACAGAAGCCCTAAAGTTGTTTTGGGGAGTTTTGAAGTCATTATAACAGGAGGGGCTAATGGGGCCCCCAGGGTGCTGGTCACTTGTTAGGGGCACTCGGCTTCTTCAGATGTGCCCATCAAAGGAGGTTTTGGACCCAAAGCTTGACTGTGGTCTCCCTGTCCTTTAGTGGCTGCAGAAAACTGCAAATTTCTTGGCAAGCATTTCAAAACCGACTTCAGGGTAGAAGGGGAGCCTGTGGTCCTGAGGTGCCCCCAGGCGCAGCTCTGGTTGTGGGCGTCTGTCAGCCCCTATGTCAACGTGACGTGGCGTAAAAACGATTCTACTAGAAAGGTCCCTGGGGAAGAAGAGACGCGAATGTGGATCCAGGATGGTGCTCTCTGGATCTTGCCAGCCTTGCAAGAGGACTCTGGCACCTACATCTGCACTATCAGGTAAGCCCTCCCAACCCCCTGGGACTAGGGTAGGAATGGGTCTCCTTCCAGAATGGGCTTCTGCATGGTTCTTCAGTGATGACCTGGATTTCAAAATCCAGTGCATAGGTGAGAAGCTACCTTTTGTCCTCTTCACTGTTCCTGAATACCTCCTACCCGAGGTATTCATGGCTCTTTCTCTCTCTTCACTGAAGTCTTTGCTCAAATGTCACCTCTTTGGAGAGGACTTCCCTAGCTACTTTACCTAAACCAGTACTCCTGACACACTCTCTCTTTCCCCTGCTGGTGTTTTTTCCTCACCTGACACACTCATGTGTTTACGTATTTAATGTTGTCTATACCCCATTAGAATGTAAACTCTAGGTCGACAGGGACTTGATCCATTTTGTTCATGCCTGTGTCCACATGAACAGAAGAAATCGATGTAGAACACTGGATGAGACTTTAGGAATGAGTTCACCCAACTGCTTATTGTACGTGTGAGGGGACCAAGCTCACTTATAAAGTGTTCCCAGGTGGTAGGTGTGGAGCTGAGACTGGAACCCACAGCCCCTGATGTGGGGTGTAGCCCCCTTCCTCTTTGTCCTGTTGCTTTTTTTTTTTAATTGTGGCAACAGATGCATAACATAAAAGTTATCATCTTATCCCTTTTTACATGTACAATTCCGTGTGTTAAGCACATTCACATTGTTGTGCAACCATCACTACCGTCCATCTCCAGAACTCTTCATCTTCTCACACTGCGGCTCTGTGCCTATTAACCATGAACTCCTCCTTCCCCTTCCCCCAGCTCCTGGCAGCCCCCATCTGTTGTCTGTCCATGAATTTGACTGCTCTAAATACCTCATAGGAGTGGAGTCAAGCAGTATTTGTCCTTTGGTGACTGGCTTATCTCACTGAGCACAGTGTCTTCAAGGGTCATGCATACTGCAGCGTGTGTCTGAATTCCCTCCCTTTTTAAGACTGAATAATATTCCATTGCATAAATATACCATATTTTGGTTACCCGTTTATCTGTCAGTGGACACTGTACCTGCCTTTTGGCTATTGTGAGTAATGCTGCTCTGATCATAGGTGTACAGAGATCTCTTTGAGTCCCTTTTACTTCTCTTGGGTACAAACCCAGGAGAGAATTGGTCATTCTATGTTTAATTTTTTGAGGAATCATCATATCGTTTGCCACAGTAGCTGCTCCATTTTTACATTCCCACCAGCAGTGCACACGGGTCCCAGTGTCTCTACATCTTCACCAACACTTATTATTTTCTGGGTTTTTCTTGGAGAGGGATAATAGCCATCCTACTGGGCATGAAGTGATAGATTATTATGCTTTTGATTTGCATTTCCCTAATGACTAGTAATGCTGAGCATCTTTCCGTGTCCTTTATTGGCCGGAAGTCTATTCAAGTCCTTTGCCCATTTGTAACTTTAAAATGTTTTTGTTGTCTTATTATTTTACATTTCTTTTGAAAATCGAAATATAATTAACATGCAGTGTTATGTTAGTTTCAGGTACAGAGTATAATGATTCAGCAGTTCTGTACATTTCTCAGTGCTCATCACTGAGTATACTTTTAATCCCCTTCATCTATTTCTCCCATTCCACCACCCATCTCTGACAACCACTAGTTTTTTCTCCGTATTTAAGAATCTTTTTGTTTGTTTGTATCTTTTGTTCTTTGTTCATCTGTTTTGTTTCTTAGATTCTACCTGTGAGTGAAATCATATGGTATTTGTCTTTCTCTGACTGATTTATTTCACTTAGCGTTATTCCATCTAGATCCATCCGTGTCATTGCAAATGGCAAGATTTCATTCTTTTTTATAGCTGAGTCATATTCCCGTGTGTGTGTGTGTGTGTGTGTGTGTGTGTATCACATCTTCTTTATCCATTCTTTAATCAAATTATTTGTTTTTGAATTGTAGGAATTCTTTATGTATTCTGGCTCTCAATCCCTTCCCACATATATGATTTACAATTATTTTCTCCCATGCCACGGGTTGCCTTTTTACTCTTTTGATAATGTTCTTTGATGCACAAAGGTTTTTAATTTTGATAAAGTTCAATTTATCTGTTTTTTCTTTGGTGGCCTGTGCTTTTGATGTCCTATCTAAGAAATCATTGCTGTATCTAATGTTGTAAAGATTTACCCTGTGTTTTCATCTAAGAATTTTTATAGTTTTAGCTCTAATGTTTAGGTCTTTGATCCATTTTGAGTTAAAGTTTATACATGGCGTAAGGTAATGGTCTGACTTCCTTCTTTTGCAAGTGGCTATCCAGTTTTCCTAACACCTTTTATTGAAAAGACTGTCCATTCCCCATTCAGTGGTCTTGGCAAAGCTTGCTGCTTCATGCAGGAGAAAGCTGTAGGTGTAGTTAGTGTTGGTGATTTTAAACCTTGCCTGGCTAAGTTCTCCAGAAAGGATTAGGGCAGACTGGGAAGTAGTGTCCCTGGTCTTCTCTCTTCAGCTGCTGCCTGTATCTTGCCCCCAGGCTCTGCCCACTCCTTCTACCAGCCAACTTTAGAGTCTCTGCACATCTCATAAACCTGCTTGATTTAAGGAGAAACTGTACCTACGAGTATTTTCATTTAGAAAGAGAACCAAAGAAAGTGCATTCATAGCACAAGGGAATTACTGGTGAATGGGAGAATTTCAGACAATATCAGCCCTAGTCAGTCCTAGATGGTGTGTGTGTGTGTGTGTGTGGTGTGTATGTGGGTGGATGGGTGAGTGTGTTCAGTCCTGTCAGTGAACCCTGCCTAGGAAAGAGGTAGGCAGTCTCTTATTTCCATATCAGGGCAATGTGGATATCTGATTTTACAATAGCTATAAACGCATAGTTTTTCTTTCCTTTTAGTACAGAAAATTCTAACGTTTTCCTAAGGAGCACTACTAGGAAAACTTAATAGTGTGGTAGAAAAAGAATGGAATTCGGAGTTGGAATGGTATGAGTGTAAATCCTAGCCCTCTCATTTTCTAGCCAGTAGGACCTTGGTCTTCTTACTTGGCATTTATGGATCTCAGTTTTCTCCTCTGTAAAAGGGTTTGTTGGGAGAGTCCTTTGAAATCACAGCATGCGAAGCATCTAGTTATGGGGAGCATCACAGAAGATGGTCAATATATACATCAAAATGCCTTGGGCGCCTGGGTGGCTCAGTTGGTTAAGCAACTGCCTTCGGCTCAGGTCATGATCCTGGAGTCCCGGGATCAAGTCCCGCATCGGGCTCCCTGCTCTGTGAGGAGCCTGCTTCTCCCTCTGACCCTCCCCCCTCTCATGTACTCTCTCTCATTCTCGCTCTCTCAAATGAATAAATAAATCTTTAAAAAAAAAATGTCTTTTCTTTCCCAAAGGCAATACTTATTGATTACTGAAGTGATAATATGCAAAAATCAGGGAGATGTGAGCTGAGTCATGTTTGTCTTAAAGTTTGTTTTTATACTCGATTTAAAAAATTGTATCTAATACCCTTATTTTATTTTCTATTATTTTTTTTTTAAAGATTTATTTATTTTAGAGGGGGGTGGGCAGAAGGAGGGGGAGAGAAAGAGAATCTTGAGCAGACATGCGGCTGAATGCAGAGCCTGATGTGGGGCTCGATCTCACCACGCTGTGATCATGACTTGAGCTGAAATCAAGAGTCAATCAACCGACTGAGCCACACAGGCACCCCTTTATTCTCTGTTCTTGTAGAAAAAGAGAGATCTGAGATTGAGGGGGCGCAGAAGAAATCCCAGGGTCAAGGTTTCTTAGCATGTGAGAGAGTCTCCCTGGCTGGTCTTTAGAACTCTCTTCCAGCTCTAAGATTGGGATTCCAGCAGAGTGAGAATCACCAACGGTTGCCCTAATACCCCTTGGCAGTTACTAACACAGCCGTGTTCCTGTGATTTTTATAATCTTCTGATCTAGAACCCACTATCAACCAGGGTGGGCAAGTTATGCTGCTAAATCAAACAGCCCCCCAAATCTCAGTGGCTTAAAACCACAAAGGTTATTTATCACACATGCAACAAGCCTACAAGCCCGTGATGGTTTGGCAGACAATCAGGAATCCAGACTGAAGGAACAGACGTTATCTCAAGTGTTGGTTGTCGTACCAGAAGAAGACATGTGTGTGTGGTGTGTATGTGGGTGGATGGGTGAGTGTGTTCAGTCCTGTCAGTGAACCCTTGTGTCTCGCTTGGATATTGAAACTTTGGTGTACAAGAGACACACATACATCCCATGGACTAGAAAAAGCCTTATAACTGCACCCACCCCCAGTAGGGCCATGATGTGTAATTCCACCATTTGCTCAGAGTGGGGGAACTGGACACACTCGGTGAACAGCACTAATGACCACCACCCCACCATGTGGGGATGCCACACCACACGGAGAATGTGAGTGGTGATCAAGTTATTCCCCACCCATCAGTCTTTTGAGTTATTTTCACGGACTGTCTGGGAATTACCAGATCAATAATGTGAACAGGTTTGGAACTCTCGATATGTGTAGTAAGTTTGGTGTCCGGAGATATTGCCCGAATTTACGGGTTTTCCCAGAGCCTTCCTTGGCTTCTAACCTTGGTTTGACCTCCTAGTAGCTCTGCAACCTTAGGAAATGACTTCATTTCTGCATACCTAATTTTCCTCACCTAAAAATGATATAATAATAATTCCTACCTTGTAGGGTTGGAGAATAAATAAAATAACATATGTAGAGCACCTAGTACAGACCTCTTCCTGCTGGTAAAATGATTCTTTTCAGGTGTGCGCCGTTCTTTAGACTTGTCCTCATTTGCCTTTCTTTGACTTACAGCGAGATTATGTACTTTTCAAGGTGATAGTTAGCTTTCTGCATTTCTTTGTGCCTAAAATGTTTGTTCAGCTTTTTCTTGTTTTTTAACCAGACATGAAATATAATATTAGATAATGGTTTTATCTGTTTGAATTAATTCTTTTTACTTTCAGGTAGCAAGCTTTTGTTACTTACTTCTCTCACGTATATTTGTCACATTTTGTTCGTTCTTTAGATATAGACTGTTTTGCCTTTTGCTGTGCAGGCCCTTCCCGCCCCCCCCGCCCCGCCCCTCCTTATACAGCACATTCTCATGGTTTCTGTTGATTATGTAGCCAGGAACTTACTTAGCTGAGATAACTATATTTTTATGTTTTTCTGTTTTTTCCCCGTGTTTCTATCAGTGTTATGCCTCTGCCCTTTCCCCAGTTCTAAGGTCTTGATAGAATTATGATATTGAGGTTAGAGTTAGGCGAACCAAAAAAACCCCCCCAAATTAAAAACAAACTTGCCAAGTTCATTTCCCCCATGCAGTATTGCAAAAATATTTTAGAGATCTTACCCAAAGTTCTCCGCAGTTTTCTGAAATTTGACTTCAGTTGATAGATGATTCCCAGAATTTAATGGGATTGGGGAAATTATTCTCAATTTCATTTAGCGTTGCTGTTATTTTGCCTTATCATTTATTATGCTTTTTTCCCTTGACTTCAGAAATGCCTCTTACTGTGATGAAATGTCCATTGAGCTCCGGGTTTTCGAGAAGACAGAAGCTTCCCTGCCTTTCATATCGTACCCGCAAATTCTAACCTTGTCAACCTCTGGGTCCTTAGTTTGCCCTGAGCTGAGTGAATTCACCCATAACAAAATGGACGTGAAGATTCAGTGGTACAAGGTACCTCTTTAAAAAATTGCTACTTTAATTAAAACGTGTCTTACTAGCCACAGGAAAGATATAAAATACCCATTCTGAAAGCAACACATTCACTTTTATATTTCGTTTTTTTTTTTTTTCCAACTAGTTATTTTAAAAAGGGGCGTGATTAATATGTTCTATTCATCTGTGTGTGGCTTGGGTAAGGGTCCTCAGAGTAGAACTTTGAGAAACCAGAATTCAAAATGAATGCAGGGTAAGTGACAGCTGAAGAAAATAGCTTTTTACACTGTCATTTGTCTATAGAAATGTAGGAAAAAAAGAAATGTAGAGAAAACTATTGGTTTAGTTAACAACTGTGTACACATTTTAATGAAGCTTTTTTAAAGCACATGATAATTAACTTTCGGGCTAAAGGTGTAAATATAAACAATTTGTTTTCTTGGCTGGTTGAATAAATGCTACCCTAGATCACTTGTGTAGAGCAGGTGTGGGCAAACTACAGTTATAACACGTAGCCAAACTGACCTGCCACCTGCCCAACAGCTCAGGATAGTTTTCACTTTTTTAAATGGTTAAAAAAAATTAAAAGAGGGGCGCCTTGGGTCAGTCGGTTGAGCGTCCGACTCTTGGTTTTGGCTCAGGTCATGAGATCGAGGTCCACGCTGGGCTCTGCGCTCAGCACGGAGTCTGTTTGAAGTTTCTCTCCCTCTGTCCCTCCTCCCTGAGTGCACGCTTGCTCTCTCTCTCTCCCTCTCTCTGAAAGAAATAAGTCTTTAAAAAAAATTAGGGGCGCCTGGGTGGCTCAGTCAGTTAAGTGTCTACCCTCGGCTCAGGTCATGATCCCAGCGTCCTGGGATCGAGCCCTGAGGGCTCCCTGCTCGACGGGAAGCCTGCTGCTCCCCTTGCCTGTTCTCTCTCTCTGTCAAATAAATAAATAAATAAAGTCTTAAAAAAAATTAAAAGAAGACTAGTATTTCATGATGTGTGAAAAGGATATAAAATTCAAATTTCAGTGTCCATAAATACAGTTTTACTGGGGCGTGGCCATGCTGTTTCTGTGGTCTCGTACTGCAAGGGCCAAATTGAGTAGCTCTTCAAACTTAGCAGAGGACAGAGGCCATATGGACTGTAGGCCTGAAATATTTACTGTCTGGCCCTTAACAGGAAAAATTTGCAGACCCCTGATATAGACAGACCATAGATTGATACTGAAAAGTACAGTTACTTGTTTAAAATTTGATAGAAATGAATCCTTTAATCAAGAAATGGTCAACCAGTTGACTGGTATTATAGCTACAAGATACATACAGGATACCAGTGCTAATCATTACTGAGCAGGTACTGTGTATAATTCTGCTCTAGGTTCCCTGGTATATAACCTAACAAAGTAGGGATTGTTAATATCTCCATTTTACAGGTTAGGAAACAGAGAGACAGAAATGTAAGGCACTTGCCCAAGGTCACACAGCTGGTAGATAGGGAAGCCAGAACTCCAGCACTGGAGGCCAGGCTCCACACACCACTGCCACGCAGGGAGCCCTGGGGGCTTGGGGGCCTTGGAAGAACTGGGGTGCTGAGCCCCGTTTGGCTTTTTTTCATGTTTGGGGACTCATGTTAGGGACAATAAAATCTCTTTTTAATTAAATATATTGTAAAATAATACTTTATGAGCCACTAGCTGACAAACTATTCCAGTTATATCTGTGCTCCCATTCAGAGCAAGATTCAGAGATGACTCAAGGTTATGTTTGACTGTCGCAAGCTTTCGATCATGGTTTTGAAAGATAGGTTCCTGAGAACACGTTGTGCTCATTGGGATGTTTACTCGAATCCCATTCAATGTTTTCTGTTATTGGAGGCCTTGCTCTTGAGAGTTCTGTGGTGCAGGACCCACAGAATCTTTTGTCCATATGGAAAGTGTGCCCTTGTTCCTCACGCTTAGTTTTTTCTTACACATTTTCCTCTGTCTTTACTAACTCCTAAAATTGAAATGATTTTCAAAATCATTACTCTAACATCATTTCTTCATTTTTCCTGAATATTACTTCTGAGTATTACAGTCACCCTGATGACATACTACTACTCTTCCCTCCATGTTTCCCAAGGTGGTTTGTCATGGCTTTATCAAATAAGAGATAGTTTCTTTTTTTTCCCTGTTGTGCTTACACAGATGTGCTATAAACATTGTGATTAAACAAATCCTACAATTTCGTTTTATCTGTTAACAAATTCCCTCTGTTAAAGAATACAGTTAGTGGTATGTCCAAAGTCCATTTGCCAAGTAAGTACCAGGGCAATTCTTGGGTTGCTTATTCAACAATGATCGATAATATGTGTGATATTCATATATAGCTTTTGAGATATAAATTAGTACATAGCATAACTCTGAAAAGTATTTTCCCTTAAGGATTCTGTCCTTTTGGATCAAGACAACGAGAAGTTTCTAAGTGTGAGGGGAACCTCTCGCTTACTCATCCAAAATGTGTCTGTGGAGGATGCAGGTTATTACACTTGTGCCATGACATTCACCCATGAAGGCATGCCGTACAACGTGACTAGGAACATTGAACTACGTGTCAATAGTGAGTACTTGCCACGGAGGGATCTCCCCACCCTGTCAATAACAAGCATGCCAAGAACAGATGAGGATTCACGTGGAATTCCTTGACTCTCTTTGGTATGAAAGGAAGACAGACCTATCAACTTGCCTAAAGCATCAGGCTAATGAGACATGTGTGTGAAGCTTTGAAAGATAGAAAATGGGGTGTTTTTATGAGGAAAGGTGAATCGCTGGGTAGTCGATAGGGTTCCAAGTGTGGCTAAAACACACCAGCAGAGGGGGTCAAACAATGGTTCACTGGGAAGGTCTCTTTGGAAGGCTTGCACCTCCAGGGCCAGCCATCAGAACATGGTTGTCATAACTTTATGTATAATTCTAGGATATTAAGATTTTATTGGATTTTTCAGTTAGATTTTATTGGATTTTTCAGTTAGAAGGCATAGTCAGTGGAAATTCCCCTTTCTCGGGCTTCCCCAAGGCACGTGGCCCTTGAAACCAGAATTTCAAGGAGTGAGTGCTCTCATTGGCTTAAATGAGTTCTACTTGAAAATAATGTTGTGAACAGTGTTGATGAGTATTTAAAATTGCTTAACATTTACTGCCTACATGCTGGACATCAAGTTTAATGCAAGGAACAGAAAAGTGTTTGAGTCCTGGACTCTGCCCTAGAGAGTATGCTGCTTTTCTTTATTTTATATACTGAATACACAATTGGAGTCTTTTAGGGCATTTCAGAGGGCTTTTGGAAATATATTAAGGTTAAATAATCGGTCTATGAAGGGAGAAGTTTAACTTTTTTTCCCCTCCCAGAGAAAATCCAGAGATTCAGTTTTACCACAGGGAAAATTGTGTCTCCCATGAGCTGAAATCTCTTGATTACATAGTCTTGTGAGGATTCATTCATATCAACTCCTTGTTCCCCCGCGGGGGAATCACGGAGACTTGCGGTGACTTTGAAAGGGTTCAGAATTATCCTGTTCATGTGATACTGCACAGGAACACTAGGGGGCGACCAGCCCACATATTACCCCAGCTTGTAATCACACTGTTTTTCAGGGCTTCTCAAAGGGTGGTCTAGCGCTTGGGTGCTCACTAGACTTGCAGAATCTCAGTCTCCATCCAGACCTACTGGGTTAGAAAAGGGACCACAGCAATCTCTGTTTAACACCCCCCCCCACTACCGTGATGCTGATGCACCCTCAGATTTGAGAGGCACAGAGGTTTTTAGCCCCTGAGGCTTTTTTTCCTCACCTCTCCGTTGTCCCAGCCTCTGTGCGGCAGGCATGTGATTACGTGTGTTGGTGGGGGCGGTGATTGCGGGGAGGCTCCTGGTCTTGGTCCAGAAACCATGTGCCCCTTCACTGTGAGTGACGCTGCCTAATGCTTACTCATGTTAGGATTTCAAAATGCTCTGCAGGGAAGACATAAGGATGGAGCGAGCAGTTGTGGAGATGGGCAGCTCTTTGCCCACCCCCAGCCATGCTTTTTGCTCCAATTCAGGTGCCTGCTTTCTTCAAGCTGTTGGGAGACCTGCCTCTTGGGGAGCTGGGTTCCTATTCAGAGATCCACCTCTATCTGCCTCCCAAAGCAGTTTATGTTCTCCATTAACAAGACATAGTAGCCAATGCTGGGTTATGCTCTTTATCACTCAGTGTGGGATTCGCCGTATAAACAGGTGGTTCCCAAATTCCTGTGTCTCTATTTATGTTTTTGAAGTGATTCTGCAGTATTCGGTGTCAGGCACTTGGGGAAGCAGGAATGGAGAAGAGGGGAAGATTTTAGGGCAAATAGACGTTGGGGTAAAGCCTATCTTGTGTGAATTGTGAACATTACTATTAAGAATTCATTCAGGAAGCTGGGGAGGGGAATGGTTAATTATTTATCACAGAGCAAAGAACATCTGTTAGTGGAATGTGTATTTAACTGTGGTCTCTTCCAGTAATATCTCTTCTGGGAAAGGCATTGGCCAAAGATGCTCAATTTTGTGGAGAGCCTGTTTCCTTTGCCAGACAAAGGTCAAATCTTACAATGGCTGGCCATACTGTAGAGAGAACTTTGTTAATTAGCTAAACAATGGAACTTGAGTCTCAGCTTGAAATGATGGCTTCCCTAATTGAATCTCTTTTCCTCATATCCTTCTCAGAAAAAGAAGAGGAGACAATTCCTGTGATTATCTCCCCCCACCAGACCATATTAGCTTCACTGGGTAAGGCCTGCAAGGACTGTGTCACCCACAGGGATGCCTGCAGTCCCAAAGCCCCGGGGTCCCCTGTCCCTGGGGTGTGCAGTGTGCCTGGGTGGGACCCTGGCACCCCGGCGGGAGAGGCAGAAACAACATCTTTCCTTCTGTCAGATGTTAGAAATGGCATTGTGTGAAAATAGGTATACTTTGTTCCATGAACACCTGCCCTGCAAAAATCTAAATGTAAAAATCCCAGTGTTCCGGTGGCAGTTATCAACTGTGTGAAAGGACTGACAGCATGATTCCCTTGTGTGGCCAGCACCTGCAGGATGTTTTCAATAAGTCCCTCTACCAGAACTTGGCTGATGTGTAGCATTTCCCTCAGAGTCCATTTGTAACGTGAGGCTGACCCTGTCACGGCTGGCCCCGCAGAGATGGTCACTTGTTGCCGAAATGGCTGCTCAGCGGGTCAAGGTGGATGATGAGAGTGACTGAGGGTTTTGTATTCTTCACCCCGTTTGTGGCTGTGGCTCGGGCTGTCCTGGCCAGTGCCCACTTCCCTGCTGGCTGTCACCGTGTCTCACGGGAGGCCACTCAGTGCCAACACCGACCCCGTAGGGATCCTTCCATAGAAGGGAAAGCTGCTCAGGGCGCCAGTGTGGCTCACTGAAGGTCAAAGCCACACTTGAGTCAGGCTGGGCTTCGGACAGGTCTGTGTGTCCGTGAAGCCTGTGCCATTTTGGTGTTTGTTTCCCTATAATGGTTTTGTAGGCTTAACCCTCCCTCCCTCCCTCCCTCCCTTCCTTCCCATCCATCCATCCAGATCTCTCTTCTGTTCGGTGTTGGGCTTATATTTTAAACTTTAGTTGGTGGCCATAGAGAGGGGGGACCTTTGTGCACACGCTGGGATTGCTGCCTCACACAGGCTGCCTCGGCCCTTGGAACAACCACCTGGAAACCTGAGGAAGTGGGGACAAGGGTGGGTGCTGCCTGGGGGAGTCCAGCACCCTGGCTCCCGGGCATTCCCCAGCCAAGTAGAGCTGAGTTCCCCACCCTGTTGCTTTGAAGGCATTCATGTGCGTGGCAGAATCACATGAGGCCAGATTTAATGGGTTGCTTTTGGCCAAGAAATCTGAAGGTTGTAAGAGGCAGTGAGGGAGGGAGAAGAGCCTGAAGGGGGGCCATACATTAAAAGACCCACCACATGGAGGCATATCACCCATGAGGAAGAAACAAATGGGTAGGATTTGTTCATTTTTTTCCCCTTTCCTCCCTTTTGGTGATTTAAAAAAATATATAACTTCTAGTGACTGAGGAGGAGGACCCAGAACAATTGCAGAAGGCACCATGCATATAAAATTCAGTGGCTTTTTTTAAAGAGTTAATCCCAAAAGAGCATGATGTGCGACTGGGGGGTTCTTGGGGGAAACATGAGGGCTGAGACCAGCAATGGACAAAGAGAAAGAATCCAAACGTTCATCTGACTTTTTGAGGTACCTAGAATAAAGTGTGGGAGAAGGCATCCATGAATTCAGAAGGCCCTGTAGGAGCTGAGTGGCCTTGGGGAAGCCATGTGCCCTCAGGGTTTTCATCTCTCACTAAGACCAGTTGAGGGAACTGGAGACAGTTGATAAATACTGGTGTCCTATGTAAATGGAATCAGTTGAGGGAACTGAGTTTCCCTCTGAGGAAAGAATTGGCTGGCGAGGGGTGTTTGAGAAGGTGGGGAAGGGTCCACCCCTTGGATTTGCTGGTGGACACGGGGGCTGGCGTGACCCCTTTTCCCTGGCTGGGTTCTGACCTTTGATGTGCGGTGTCTTGCCCTGCACAGGATCAAGACTGACAATCCCGTGTAAGGTGTTTCTGGGAGCCGGGACACAGTCGACCACCATGCTCTGGTGGATGGCCAACAACACCAGAATAGAGAATGCCTACCAGGGAGGCCGCGTGGCCGAGGGGCAGCGCCAGTAAGTGGGTGAAGATCTTTGTCAGCTGGGACTTCCGAGGTCTTTGCTCTTCCCTTTAGAGACAATGTCATACCAGACCTATTCGTATGACACCCACACTCCGTTAAAAATAATTTTTTTAATTGTAAACTGTTGGGTTTTTAGAATTTTATTTTATTTTTTTTAAAGATTGATTTATTCATTTTAGAGAGAGAGAGAAAGAGAGCACGAGCCAGGAGAGGGGTGGAGAAAGAGGGAGAGAGAATCTCCAGCAGACTCTATGCTGAGCACGGAGCCCAATGCAGGGCTCCATCCCACGACCCTGAGATCATAACCTGAGCTGAAACCAAGAGTTGGATACTTAACTGACTGAGCCACCCAGGCGCCGCAGATTTTTAGAATGTTAAAAATTGAGTTTTGCTAAGTTTTACCAGTTGTTCTTGAGAATCAAACTTCCGACAGGAGCTGGGCTACAGTCGACTACTTGGCATTGATGTTGCATTTTCTAGCTGTTTCCTTAAACATCTGTTTCTTGATTTTTGAAGTTTTCCAAAAAAAAAAAATACTTTGGAGTTCATACATTTCCATGCTGCACCCTGAACCTGAGTGTCAAACATTTTCGCAAACCCTTCAAAAGAGTCTGAAAGTTAACTACGGTATCTGAGGGTGGCCACAGGCGCTAAGGAAGGTTAATGTTAAAAGAAAGGAAGAATTCTCTTCTCATAAGCATTCATCTCTGGAAAATGTTTTCTCACCCCCAAAGTAGAACAGTCAGACCTTGTAAATGTGAGCCATTTGTATTTGAGGAAAGGAGACCATTTGATGTTCCAAATTATCAAGGATTTTTAAAATTCAAGTTCCAGTACAATGAATTAGCTTCAACTTCTGCTTGCCAGTTTTTGTCTTTTTTCAAAGACCTATCAAAAAAGTCTTCCTGGATGCACTGTAGTGGATCAAAATTATATGTGGTTAGCACAACTGCTTGCTTGCAAAGTCCTTGTTGGGAAAAGCTTGGCATCACTCACATGCCCCATGTCAGCTTACTCATACTATCTGCACGCTTAAAGGAGCCTAATTTCCCAAGGATTAAAAAAAAAAAAAAAAGCCCTAGCAGATCCGCATCAGTGATATTTGTATTCATGCTTCTAGGTGGCAGGGAAGCATCTTCAGAGTATGATCATATTATAAATGGCAGCAATGCTGGCTAGAACCATTCCCTGGCCTGGCCCATCTGCAGCCCTCGGCCCTGAGCTTGAGTTCCCAGAATGACAGCTGGCTATGGAGATGAGAGGTGGAAACACGGTGGAGGCCAGGGTTCCCAGAAAATCCCTCCTCCTCAGTATGCAAATGATTTATTGGCCTTACAGCCAAATTTCTCCAAGGCAGACATTTCTATTCCTACTACTGCCTCTTTGTTCGTCAATGGCCTTAAAAAATGAATTTTTCCATTATCCAAACGAAACTGGCTCCTGTTAAGTTCTCCTTGTGACAAGCGTCCTGTTACAGGGACCAACATCTTCAGTGTCACTCCCACATTCAGCCTAGAAAGTCTCCCAAATAGGGAACCAATATCCTGGCAAGTGCTCCTGACTTTATGAATCCTGAGACCAATTTAAGCACAGCCGATCCTTCTCACTGAGAACGTTTGGGCGTCTCCATCGTAAAGATGGGCTTGCATTCGATACATCACGTTTAAGTGAATGTTTTCTCACTCAGGGAATACTCAGAGAACAATGAGAACTACATCGAAGTGCCACTGGTTTTTGATCCAGTCATAAGAGAGGATTTGAACACGGATTTCAAATGCCTTGTCCGTAACACACTGAGTTTTCAGACGCTCCGTACCACGGTCAAAGAAGGTATGTATTTGGGGAACATTCCAGGGGAAAGCAGCATGGCCAGTATTTTGTGGATGCCGGACAAAGCTACTAGTTCTCCAGATGATTGCTTAGGGGGTCCTCCGTTTCCTGTTAGTGGAGCACCCAAAGCAGAGCTCTCATTTTTTATGATTTGTTTTTTGTCGGGTGGGAGCTGGCTTTGGGAGATTATGTTCAAGGAAAAATTTAAGTAGCAAGCTGACTTTTGGAAAAAAGATAAGGTGGTTCTGCGATAAACTTAAAAAAGCCCTGTGTCCTCGTGTGGTTCTGCCCCTTGATCCACAGGACTAGCTGTTTTCTCCTGACACCTTGAGGAGGATGGGGTGGTCTTTAGCCCGAAACTGAGGAACTCCCTTCTCCAAGAGCTGGGGACTGGCAGATCTGCAGGGCTCAGGGCAGCTTTAGGGTTGAAGTCATCAGTCCCTAGGAAATAAAGCACAAGACTCTAGTCAAATCAACCCAGTGCCCATTTAAGAAGAAAAGAGAAACCCATGCTATCATTTGGACCAAACTGATTTCTTCCCAGCGTTTAAGCGCGGAGTGGGACAGCGAAACTCAGGTAACGCAGAGGCCGTTGACAGCCAGAGGGGACAAGGCAGAAGCCAAAGTGATTGCCAGCTGCAGTCTTCTTATGCCTTCTGGGCAGTCTGTAGCAGTCCAACAGATTGCTCCACATTCTCTGTGTTTTCTGGGAAAGCAGCTGCAGACATACTTGTAATTGAAAAGCTGGGGATTTGGTTAAGCCTCGGGCAGAGCATGACACATACAACTTTTCTCCAGTTGTGGTCTGAGCACCACCAGCATCTCCCACTTGGGCCACTAGTTGAAAACACAGAGCCCTGGGCTCACCCCAGATCTACCCAAATTCTTCCAGGGTAAGGCCAAAGATGGTAATTTAGCAGGCTCCTTTCCTATTCAAGTTTGAGAACCACTGTCCTAGGACATATATGCAAAGGCTGATGCTTTAGATCATTCCCATGAAAGAGTCAATAGTTGTCCAGACTTGGAAAGGAAGGGTCCCACAGAAAGCAGGGCCCACTTCTGGGGTTCAGATTGTGACCCAAAGGAACCTGTGGTTTGTCCGGGCCTGGAGCTGGGAACCTTTAAACACTTCTATAACATGAGCTGTCTCCTGGCATGTCCTTTGCTGGGTTGGCCGCGACTCATGGCCGAGGGCACAGCTAAAAGCCTGTCCTCAGCATGGAGAGGTGCGTCCGGATGGCTGCTCAGCATATTAAAGCTTGACACATTTCTAAGCCTTGTGGGATGTTAAGGTAGAAAAATCATCTGGAGAAATAGTCTGAGATTGTGTTGATTCCCGGAGGCCTAGACGATGATAAATAGTAGCTTTAAAATGTGGAACTCTGGCCTCATCATCAGTGAGTCCACGAACACTCATGTTCTTGTGTTTGCTTGTTACGTCTTTATTCGTACTCTCTTCCCACATTCTCGTGACACACAGATGCCAAGGAGTAGAATATAAAATAGCTGGGTCCAAGCAATAATCTTGACACCTAAAGCTCCTTTATTCAAAGTTGGTTTTCTCGTCCTGTGTTAGTTTATATCATCCTCCTGACATGCACGCTCATTGGAAGAGGACACGCTGGACCTTGGCCACATCCCAGTTGGCTGGTTGAGATTTGAACAGATAATGTCTTATTGCACGCTATTCAACAGGTTGGAACAGAGACCCTCGCCACCTCACCCCACTCTGCTCTTTCTCTCTGATGGATGTTCATTCTACCTTGCTTGTTTCCCTAATACTGCAGATGTCCTTCTCAAATATCCTTGATCTGATGCGAGGGGCATGCTTTCTGAAAAATCAGTGCATAATTATTAGAAAAAATGAACTCCGGTTCCTGTCTTCTCTATAAACACGCATTGCACTGTCCTGCTTGGCAGTGAGAGAATGTTCCTTCCACCCATAATGTGACTCTGTTCTTCCTACAGCTACCACATTCTCCTGGGGGACCGTGCTGGCCCCCCTCTCCCTGGTCTGCTTGGTTTTGGTGGGAATATGGATGCGCAGACGGTGTAAACACAGAACTGGAAAAGCACATGGTTTGACCACGTTAAAGACTGGCTATTAAGATTTTCAATCTTACTCAAGTAGAATAAAGACAATAAAACGATTAAGAGACAAACGATATCCTTTTTTATGGAAGTGATTTGGCCTTCGTGAGGATTCTGCTCTTCCTCCGTTGGTTTAACGAGCTGCTGTGTTTATGGTAAAGGACTGAAGTATGAATGGGATTTTTATTCTGAAACTGAATGACAGGAGCAAGCGTGCATGTGGGTGGGAGAGTAGCTCTTGGACACCTGTGACCTATTTAGAAGAGTGAGGTGGAGTCGAAAACATCTAAAGAGTTTTATAGTTCATTCATTCAAAATTTAACAAAAATGTATTAAAAAGCTATGTTGGCCCTGTTCCATGGAAGGTATTAGTAGATACAAAGAGAAGATGTTGGTTGCCTTTTGGGGAAGATGGAATTTCATTTTGAGACTAGAAATAGGGATTCAGAAATGCTAAACAAAGAGCATCAGCAAAAATTGGTGAATTTTTTCAAAAGGAAGTGCCAAAAAATAGCAATTAAAGTAGACTGTGAGAAAGATACATGTTAAGACATTTTAGTGAGCTGAGAAATAGACTCAGCTTTATAACAAAGCTTCTGAAAATAAGGAGGACGGAAAGGTATTGGGATAATTGCATATACATTGGAAAAAAAATAATCAGAACCTCTTTTTTGTCATATACCCATTCCCCTCTCCCCCCCCAAATCCCTTAAAGTTAACTTAATAAATTCAATTTTAAAAAATCAGATTGCAGAAAAATTAGCATGACTCACTCCTTCACTTGAGTTCAACTCTTTGTTCAAGTGACCTTCCCAGGGGCACTTCTGAATGGCACCTCTTTCCATCCTTCTCTGTTTCTCCCTCTGCTTTGTGTTGTTATAGATCTTATCACCACCAGACCTTCCATTACATATGTACTTGTTTATTTTCAGTTTTCCCCACGGGAATGGCACGAGGGCAGAGATGTTATTTTGGTCACGGCTGTATCCCTAATACCTGGAATCATGCCTGCCACATACTGAACGTTTAATACATGTTTGTGGAATAGATGAAAATAGGATGGATTTTCTTGCATTCACTACCAGTAAAAGAATCACCAGAGTACAGGTGGACAGGCTTGATTATATTACAATTCCTGCATAACAAAAGAATAAAAGCAGAACATAAAGGAAATTATGTCAGATGAGCTCAAGGAATTAATAATGACAGCATATAGAGTTATTCAGGACTTAAAGAAAGGCATCCTACCCCTCATGGATGGGGGAACATGAATAGGGAATTTGTGGAAGAAACACACATAAGGGGACCATGGAAAAATGATCTGTTTCAGTAATAGAGATATAAATTAAAACAACATTGAGATACCCAGGCCCTCACACACTATCCAGTTTTAAAAGGCAACATCAAGGTCATTTCCAGATAATAACTCCCACATCCTGTAATTCCATTTATAACTTGGTACTGGGAAGTAGAAAGGCAATTTGTATCAAGCCAGGGGGGTGCTGGGTGCTGCTTGCTCCTTGCAAGAGCCAAGTGTGGCATCTCTTCCCAGCTCTGTTCAGTGATGTCATGTTAGAAGCTTAAAATCCACCGTCATGGGAGTATTGACACCATAGAAACTGGCAAATACCACAGGCCTCCTTCCCCAGCACACTGATCCCTGGTCCTAGAGATGCCCAGGAATGCTGCTCCTGGGAATTCATCTTAGACTAATTCAACAACAGAAGATAAATAGATGTATGAAATATTTCAGCGAAACTTATTACCCTGATGATGAACAATTATGCATCAATTGTAAACTATAATTAATCAAGAATGCAAGACTGAAATATTTGTAACGTTAAGGAAAAATTGAATAGCGTTTATGCAATTTATATGGTTAAGACAGTATTAAAATTCGTTGGTAGCTAAAAAAAGGGGAAAAACTCAAGGGTTTTGAAGACAAACTTCTTGGGTTCAAATCACTCTCTGATCCTAGTCAAGGCCTTTAGCCAGGCTGTGTGTCAGTCTTCTGATCTGAAAATAGGGCTAAGAACAGGAACTATCCTAGAGTGCTATATTTAATAATCAAAAACATAGGAGTATATGTATAGACAGGAACAAAATAGTTGTACTGTTTAGGCCAAAGGTGGACAAACTGCAGCCTTCTGGCCAAATGCAGCCTGCCCTTTGTTTCTGTAGATTAAGTTTTGTGAGCACACAGTCGTTTTGTTCATGGATCACCTAAGGCTCCTTTTGCTCTCTGAAGGCGGTGGCGTCGCAAAAAGTCTGAACTGTTTGTTATCTGGCGCTGTACAGAGAAAGTGCGCTGACCGCTGGTTTAGACCAAGGACATTTACAGGCAGTTTTCAAGCCTGACTTTTGTGTTTCCCTGCTGTTCTCTTCTCTTTCCTTCCTTGCCTGTAAGCATGGAAGGAAGGAGAAGGAAATGAGGAGCAGGCAGAGGCCTTTTGGCCTCGAATTCGGAACTTTGACCGTGAACGAAGTGGACACAAGGTTTGAGATGCAAGCAGAGGGCTGCTCTGGGTGCTTCTGCCCGTTCTGGATCCTCAGGCTGGGGCGCCGTGTGGCTCTCGTCCTCTTCCTTCCTGGGGCCCCTCCTCCAGGGCTCCCCGGAGTTCCCCACCCTCAGGTTCTGGCAGCTCCAGCAGTGGCCCAGAAAAGAAGCTGACTGCAGCCAGAAGAGAGCTGCCAACAAGTTTGGAGGTCCCCACCTTGCCTGCACCATCTACGCACTTCCTCCATCCGCCGTTCACGAGGGAGGGGGGTGTCTTGCTCTTAGAAAGAACAGGAGACAACCAGGGAATTTTGGACACCAGATTTATGATAATAGTGAGGTGTAAGTATGATATTGGGATTGTGTTACGTTTTGAAAGAAGAGTGGTTGTATTTCTAACTGACTTCCAGAAATAGTTACGGATGATAGTTGAGATTTGCGTCAGAATGGTCCAGTACTGGGCGGGGGAGGTGGGGGTGAGTATGGATGAAATGCGATTGACTGACCGGGTGTTGACAATTGTTAACACCAGTCAGTGATGTGTGCGTGGCGGCTCCTTATACAATCCTCTCTCTTTTTGCGTATGTCTAGAAATTTCCATAATACAGAGGAAAAAACCAACAGTATAGAAATAACCAAATACCCACTAGACAAGAGAATGAGTCCATAAGCTGAGGTGTAATAGCACAGTGGAATCTTCTATAGTGGTGAAAATGAATAAAATATAGCTATACACAGCAAAATGGATGAACCTCAGAAATATATTATTAAGTAAAAAATAAGTCTCATCAGGGCACCTGGGTGGCTCAGTCTGTTGAGAGGCTGCCTTCAGCTCGGGTCATGATCACAGGGTCCTGAGATCGAGCCCCACATCGGGCTCCCTGCTCTGTGGGAGTCTGCTTCTTCCTCCTACTCTCCCTCTGTTCTCTCTGTCTCTCTCAAATAAATAAATAAAAATCTGGAAAAAAAATAAGTCCCAGAAACATCTATTTATAGCACCATCCCTTTTTAGTGAAAGTGAGAAACAACTAAAATTAAAATCTCTCTCTCTGCATACATACATATCTTTATATATATTTATATTTAAGAGCACATATGTGATAAAACTATATTTTAACTATATTTGGAGATGTATGTATCTGCAGTTACCAGGCCCTATGTGATTTTAAAGGTTTACAATTGTCTGTGTTTTAAAAAAGCAAGAGGATGAGCAACCCAAGGTTCGGGAGAGTGAACACATTGGGTGACAGGTGGGGGACCCGGGCTGGGATGGGTTAGAAAGATGTCAGTTTCATCAAGTTCTAGATCTCCCATTGAGTCATGGATTATTACTGTTTATTATCAAACAGATTACGAAACAGGTCACTCATGGACCAATGAAGAGTGTGTGTCTTGAACTAAGGATTCTGCTTAATTCTGAGTCCGAACTAAACAAACAAAAGAAACAAGGTGTTTTTCTTGATGTCTTCATTTATTTTATGCGCATTCCGTTGGTTGAACTTCCTGAAATGGAATTTTCTCAGTTCCCCCTACAAAATCAGGGGGATGGGGCAGTAACCAGCATCGGACAGCGTCACACCTCCAGGCGCTCCCTGTAGGGAAGCAAGCCCTACGTCACCAAGTACCACTTCCCCAAGAACTGACTGAGGATGGCAGTGGACACCAGGACCAGGCACCAACAATAATTTATGCACTAAAGTTAAATTTGATGTCTCCAGGATTTCCTGTGCTAGGGGGATGTGTAGGGGCTTTACAGAGGGGGTAGGATCGTATATCTACCATAGGACCTTCCAGGGACAGAAGCATCCCCGGCACTTGCATGGGGCCTCACCACCGGGTAGACACTGCAGAAACGTCTGCTGGCTGAACAGAGAAATCGTGTGTTACTTGGGTTTTTCCAGGACTCGCCAGCCTGTGTGAACAAACGTGATCCCACCCAGCACGACTCTTCCGAGTTTCCCAGCTCCTGCCCCGACTCCCAAATTCTCACTGGTTATTTCCATGACTCCTGCCAATAGCTCACTTGGACACTATAAATGGGCCTCGTGTTTTGGGGTTGTTTTCCTGTTCTTGTCCACCCCACCCCCCCGCCGTGGGCATCTGCCAACCGTGTCGTCCCTCGAGGGCTCCTCATTGCTGTGTCTGGCCTCCCGCAGAGGGCAGTGTCCCAGGGTGTCCAGAGGACGAGCAGGGCAGTTGCCATGCTGGGCGGCAGCCTCTGTCTGCGGCAGTACCAGAAGCCTCCCTGAGCATTTGCAGAAGCTCCCCCTTCATGGCTCACGTGGCCGGCCATACAACCACAGGGGTGCGGGGGGCCTGCAGCCCATCTGCCACAGGGCTCAGCCATGGAGGATGCCCTCCTCCTCCCTGGCGT